TTATATTTATTAAATAAAGGCTTTCTATTAAAAAAAATTCTTGAGGCCAACGAAAGGTTAAGCTACTGCCTGTTATGCCAGCATCCTGTATGAGCACCAGTTCGAGCCCTGAATGGTCCACTTCCGATCTGCCTCCCTGCTAAAGCACCCAGGAAAGCAGCAGCAGATGACCCAGGTATTTAGGCCCCTGCTACACACATGGGCGACCAGATGGAGTTCCAGCTCCTGGTTCCAGCCTGGACCAGCCCCGGTAGTTGTGTTCATTTGGGGAGTGAACCATCAGATGGAAGATCTCAGTCTCTCCTTTTCTCCCTCTATCACTTTGCCTTTCAAATCAATATTTTTTTAAAGAGAGAATTTTTCCTCACGCTTCTTGTGGCCCAGCTGTGCTTCCTTAGGAGAGTACTGACCTGGGACAGGGACCTTTCCTTGGCCCTTCGGAATGACTGGGAGACCAGAGAGCTCCTTTTAATTCATCAGACTAAGCAGAGAGGAACCTGGGAAATGTCACCTGAAGAGGAGGAGGAGGAAGGGAAGAGCCGCCACTGCAAGGTCTTGGGGCAGTAGCTGGATAGGACAAGGCACTGGTTCTCCACATATAGGGTTCAACATCCTGAGACAAAACTTGTGCACTTCCTCTCCTGATCCAAATGCATTAATACCCAGAGACAAAAACATTTGCACATGGACTGCCTCCTCCCCATAACCCCCAAAGTAAACTCGACATTCTCCAGTTTAAAAGTTCCCGAGCCAAGGCAAAAATCACACCACAAGTCCTGATCACTGGGGGAATGAGAAGAGCTTAAGCCAAGTCATCACCGTCAGTATTCTGTGAGTCACCAGACAGGGACTGACCCAATAGCTTGTCCTCCTGTGTGAGCAGAGCAGCCACAGATTGAAAGCCGCAGGAAAGAGTCACATGGTGCAGGCAGACAACTCCTGGGACTGCCTCCTGAATCACTCCTGCTTGTGATGACATACTTTCCCACTGTAAACACTCCCCTGTGCTGCATCCTCTTCCCCAGTTACCAAAGCTCTTATCACACTGGGGTCGGGCTGGCTGTCCAAGCATGTCCCTAAACTTATGTTGCCAGCCCCTCAAGCTGTCCCTTGTGCCCAACAGCTATTTTGTAAATCAAGTAGGTGAATTAATTAGCAAGTTAGTTTGTAAATGAATGTATGTAGGTGGATTACTGTATTTCAAGGGTCATTTGTCCTCTTCCTAAGCCCTAAGCCAGGTAATCATGAATTCTCAAGTTGTTTGGGCATTGGAAGTAGTCCTAGAGATAGGAAATTAAAGGATGTGATAGGAACTCTCAAAATGGAAAACAAAAAGTGTATCATGATACCATCTTGGTTTGATGGTATGTTAAGACAAAGGGTCTCAAGCCTTAAACTTTGTTTTTTTTTTTTTTTTAGTAGATATGAATTTCCAAAGTACAGTTTATGGATTACAGTGGCTCCCCCCCCCATAACTTCCCTCCCACCCGCAACCCTCCCATCTCCTGCTCCCTCTCCCATTCCATTCACATCAAGATTCATTTTCAATTATCTTTATATACAGAAGATAATTTTAGTATATATTAAGTAAAGATTTCATCAGTTTGCCCCCACACAGAACACAAAGTACAAAATACTGTTTGAGCACTAGTCATATCATTAATTCACATTGAACTACACATTAAGGACAGAGATCCTACATGAGGAATAGGTGCACAGTGAGTCCTGTTGTTGACTTAACAAATTGACACTCTTGTTTAAGGCATCAGCAATCTCCCCAGGCTCTAGTCAAGAGTTGCCAAGGCCATGGAAGCCCCCTGAGCTTGCTGACTTTGATCTTATTTCAACAAGGCCATAGTCCAAGTGGAAGTTCTCTCCTCCCTTCAGAGAAAGGTACCTGCTTCTTTGATGGCCCGTTCTTTCTACTGGGATCTCACTCGCAGAGATCTTTCATTTAGGTTTTTATTATTATTATTATTTTTTGCCAGAGTGTCTTAGCTTTCCATGCCTAAAATACTCTCATGGGCTCTTCAGCCAGATCCGAATGCCTTAAGGGCTGATTCCGAGGCCAGAGTGCTGTTTAGGACATCTGCCATTCTGTGAGTCTGCTGTGTACCCAGCTTCCCATGTTGGATCGTTCTCTCCCTTTTTAATTCTATCAGTTAGTATTAGCAGACACTAGTCTTGTTTATGTGACCCCTTTGACTATTATACCTATCATTATGAACAATTGTGAACAGAAATTGATCACTTGGACTAGTGAGATGGCATTGGTACATGCAACCTTGATGGGATTGTATTGGAATCCCTTGGCACATTTCTAACTCCACTACTTGGGGCAAGTCAGCTTGAGCATGTCCCAAATTGTACATCCCCTCCCTCTCTTAGTCCCACTCTTATATTTAACAGAGATCACTTTTCAGTTAACTTTAAACACCTAAGAATAATTGTGTGTTAATTATATAGCTCAACCAATAGTATTAAGTAGAACAAAAAAATACTAAAAGGAATAAAGTATTAAATTGTACATCAACAGTGATGACAAGGGCTGATCAAGTCACTGTTTCTCATAGTGTCCATTTCACTTCACCAGGTTTCCTTTTTGATGCTTGGTTAGTTGTCACTGATCAGGAAGAACATATGATATTTGTCCCTCTGGGAGTGGCTTATTTCACTCAGCATGATGTTTTCCAGATTCCTCCATTTTGTTGCAAATGACCGGATTTCATTGTTTTTGACTGCTGATAGTATTCTATAGAGTACATGTCCCATAATTTCTTTATCCAGTCTACTGTTGATGGGCATTTGGGTTGATTCCAGGTCTTAGCTATTGTGAATTGAGCTTCAATAAACATTAAGGTGCAGACTGCTTTTTTAAGCCTTAAACTTTGTAAGAATCACTTAAGGATCTCATTGAAATACAGATTTTGATTCTGGGCCCGAAATTCTGCATTCTTAACAAGCTCTCAAGTACCTCTCAAGTATGGGCTGCTACAGGTCTACAGACCACACAGTAAGTAGCAGGAGTCTAGGGAGACTTAGTGGTCACATAATCAAACACCTTCCTTAACAGATGGGGAAACTGAGTTCCAGCAAGAACAAACCAATTAGGAGATTGCTTCTGGTGAGAGCAGGTACAGGAGTGAGGTGGGGTAGCATCCTAGATCTTCTCTGGGTAGCCCCAGAACCTTGTTCCTACTCCACTCCTAAATGGAGCTAATGTCTTCCTTTCTGCCATCCCTGTTTTCCTAAAAGCTTCAAGAAGAGGACAGAGAAGAGACATTATTGGGGTTGGAAGAAAACCATTCCAGTTCTTCCTTATTCTGCACTTGACAGACTAGCCAGTATTGGTGGTCTAACCATCCACTGTCAGCATTTGGTTACTGTTATATCCTGACGTCTACTTTTTGGTTTTCATTCATGGTTGCTAGGTCATAAATCCCTCCCTAAGGCAAGCCATAGAAACTAGAATTTCTCTTCCCCAAGGCAGGTCATAGCAACTTTAACCTCTCCCTGTCTTTCTGAATTGGAAGCTGGCCGCAAAGAAATTCTATGACCTACCTTATCTGATAATACAGGGTGTTTCAAAAACTTTGTAAGAAATGGAATTAAATGTTGGGGGCCGGCACCATGCCGCACTGGGTTAATCCTCCGCCTGCGGTGCAGGCATCCCATATGGGCGCCGGTTCTAGTCCTGGCTGCTCCTCTTCCAATCCAGTTCTCTGCTGTGGCCTGGGAAAGCAGTGGAAGATGGCCCAAGTCTTTGGGCCCCTGCACCCGCATAGGAGACCAGGAGGAAGCACCTGGCTCCTGGCTTCGGATCAGCTTGGTCGCCGGCCGTTGAGGCCATTTGGGGAGTGAACCAACGGACAGAAGACATTTCTCCTTGTCTCTCCCTCTCATTGTCTGTAACTCTACCTCTCAAAGAAAGAAAGAAAGAAAGAAATGGAATTAAATGAGAAGTTTATTTTGGTGCAAACTGTTTTGAAATTCATGCCTTTAAAAAAAATAGGTATTTTCCATGAGTGTTTTCAGGAGCCCTCATATGCATGGATCACAACACTTTTTGCACCGAAATAGTCATTTTTTTTTTTTTTTTTTTTTGACAGGCAGAGTGGACAGTGAGAGAGAGACAGAGAGAAAGATCTTCCTTTGCCGTTGGTTCACCCTCCAATGGCCGCCGCGGCCGGCTCGCTGCGGCCGGCGCACCGCGCTGATCCGATGGCAGGAGCCAGGAGCCAGGTGCTTTTCCTGGTCTCCCATGGGGTGCAGGGCCCAAGCACTTGGGCCATCCTCCACTGCACTCCCGGGCCACAGCAGAGAGCTGGCCTGAAAGAGGGGCAACCGGGACAGAATCCGGCGCCCCGACCGGGACTAGAACCCAGTGTGCCGGCGCCGCAAGGCGGAGGATTAGCCTATTGAGCCGTGGCGCCGGCCCGAAATAGTCATCTTGTAATTCCATCTTCCCATGAATTTTTGTCATTCCCTGTAGATCATAAGATCCACCCCCAATTTCAGAAGAGGCCCTGCCCCATACCCAGCAGGAAGGGGCAAGAAGAACCTGGACAGGCTTCGCTGGGTTTCACTCCTCAGTCTATTAGTCTTAGAGCACAGCCTTCTGGTCCAACACATTTCTATACAACTGTCCCTGCTTGCATCACATCCATGCAAGGAACAACAGGACTGAGCTCAGAGAGCTTCCAAACAACCTAGCCTGTGGAGCTGCCTGGAGGATGGTGCACCTGGAGGGACTTCGAGGCTCCCTCACTCTTCCCGTACACCTTGTCCTGTGCTGCTCCTCCTTGCTATCCTTTGTAATACCCTTCTTGATAAGCCAGTAAAGGTAAGGGAGTGCTCCCCAGAGCTGCTCCAGGAATTGACCCCACAGAGGTTGACTTTTACCCAGTAGGTCAGAAACACAGGTAAAGCTACATGGGGCTTGTGACGGACATCTAAAGAGGGGAGAGGAGACTGAGCGTTGACCTGCAGGACCTGACGCCATGTCCAGGTAAGCAGAGTCAGAACAGAATTGAATTAGAGGGCATCCAGCTGGTGTCTGTGGCTGCAGAACAGATGCTTGCTTGCTGTCAGAAGGGTGTTGTAGAAATGCAGTTGGAGATTTATTGTTGGAGTTAGTGTTTATAGAACATTCCAGGAAGAATATAACATCACATTGAAGGTGGCACCTTCTAAAGCTGCTTCCCCAAGCCCCTTTCCTGTCACTCACCCAGTTTCTCTACCGGTGAGCTGCAGCAGTACCATTCACCTGGAGTTAAGACCATGAAATGAGGGACCAAGGTTGTGCACAGTGGGTTAAGTTGTCACTTGTGATGCTGGCATCCCATTTGAGCACCGGTTTGAGTCCAAGTTGCTCCACTTAATGTGCCTGGGAAGGCAGCAGATGATGACCCATTTACTTGAGTCTCTGCCACGTATGTGGGAGATCTGAATTGAGTTCCTGGCTCCTGGTTTGGCCTGGCCCAGACCTGGTTGTTATAGACATTTAAGGAGTGAGGATCTCTCTCTGTGTCTTTCCTCACCCCCTACCCCATCACTCTGTCTTTCAAATAAATTAATTTTTAAATCATGACATGAGGTGACATTAAAGTGTATAGTATGATCCTCTGATTTTTCCCAATCAACTGGGTTAATTCTTTAGACTATCTGAAGAAATAATACAAAACAAATTCTGACAACCTGAACCCTAAAGAAATGATACAAGGGGAAAGTTTCAATTATTTAAATGTAGAATCAACAAAACCCAGGAGAACTCAGAGGTCAGGTAAGCCAATATCCCATCCCTTGCCTGAATCTCCCTGAAATGTACTATCAAGGATGGATGTACCTGGGCCAATGAGCTCATTAGGCTTTCCCCTGCCTAACAGGTGTCTCCAGCACCCGTTCACTCAGTCTCACTGCTGAACCACACAGGGCCCACTATGAAAACCAGCACCCATCATCTCTCCATCCACTGATCTTGTTACTCATTATTCCTATTTATGGGCTTGGTTTGTCCTTTGGATCTAATGACCCATTGAGATAGGACCAGGTTGAAGTGAACTGTCATCAAGTCAGAGAGCCAAGGTCAGGACCAAATAAAGAGGAGCTTCCTACTTTTCTTAAGTTGACCTCCCTCTTGGAGTTCCATTCAAAAATTCTACATTTTTGCCAATCTTCGGTCTCAGTCTGACTGTGCTTATCTCCTAACAGTGTCGCTGTGGCTATCTCCCAGTGATCCCATCCCTTCCAAGTCTCTCATTAGTTTATTGGTACTGAGTAGGCGTCAGTGCAGAGTAGCCTTCGCCCCACACGCAGGAAGCAGCGGTGGCTCCCGGACTAGAGGCTTAGGAGGCGGCTTAGAGATCCGAGTCTTAACAAACAGCCTAGGAGACGCTGCTGCAGGTGGGCAGGGGACCACACTTGGAGACCTATTAACGGGAATTTAGGTGTCACATGCATTGGAGTGCAAGTCTTAGCTGTGCCACTTACTAGTTGTGTGACCTTGAACAAATGAGTGCATCTGTAGAAGTCTGTTTCCTCATCTTTAATAAACAGACAATAAAGCCCATGTCACAGTATTAAAACCACAAAATGAGATGGTGTCTATTAAGTGCTTCACATAATTCAAAGTGGGTAGTAAACACTTATTAAATATAAGCTAGCACTGCTATTAGTGTAATTGGTTTATCTTCAGAATTGGGAAACTATTAGAAAATAATGTATTTAATTTACTTAGTCCCTTTTAAGCAGACTGAGACTTCTAATTGAGGCTTGTGATTCTTCTGATCACCCAGTGATTTTCCTCTCTGTGAGTTCTGTGATTCCTAATAGTAGTTTAGTACCATTTCGATGCATAGCCATGGACCTTGCACTTAGCAGGGGATCAGAATGTCCTGAATATGTTCGAGTGGGTGAATGCTGTCTGGCCAGGCCCCCTGGGCAGCACCCCACTGCTGCACCATATCTGTTATTCTCCCCTTCTCCAAATGCTCTCCAGCATCCTCTTCACACATAGCATCAGTCTGATTCCCCCGGGCCCAACCCTTCCCATTTCCCATTCCATGTGTGCTGTCCCATGAAGAGCTGGTGGTACTGGCCAGTTTGTACTTACTTCTTGGCATTAAGACTTCCAGTTCCCCATAGCATGTAATCTATGCTTTGTGCATTTAAAATCCAAGAGACACAGACACAGACAGACAGACACAGCTACCATTGCTCATTCACTCCCCAAATGCCAGGGATAAGTCAGGCCAAAGTCAGGAACTATAACTCAGTACAAATCTCTCATGTGAGAGGCAGGGACCCAACTGCTTGATCCATCACTTGCCATCTTCCAGGCTCTGCATCAGCAGGAAGTTGGAGTCAGGAGCTGGAACTGGGGGATCAAACCCAGGTACTCTGATGTGGGCTGTGGATATCTTAACTAGTAGGTGTTTTTTTTATTTTGGCAGAGAAAGACCCAAATACTGAGACAGAGAAACAGGGGGAGAGAGAGAACTATACAGCATTTTCAATGAGAATAATGGGAGGATGGTGATGTGAGAGTAAGAGTTCATGGAGGGGGTGACTGACAACCAAGCAACAGGGAACCCCTTTTTCCTTTCTCAGAGGCGTTCAGAAGTTGAATTTATTCTGTTGTTGCTAATGCAGATGTTATTCAGGTTTTTAAAGTTTTAATTTAGCACTTTTCAAAGTGTAGCAAAAGAATAATTCTGAGGAATTGAACCTACCCTGTGGGTGAGTTCCATTTGAAGCACTCCATCAGTGAATAAATGCAATAACTGTAGGGAGCACACATGTGTAACTACGATCAGGACCCCCTGTAGATTCCAAAATCCGCAGGTGTTCAAGTCCCTATGTAAAACAGGGCTGTATTTGTATACAACCTATGCATATTCTCATGTCTATTTTTTTTTTTTTGACAGGCAGAGTGGACAGTGAGAGAGAGAGACAGAGAGAAAGGTCTTCCTTTTGCCGTTGGTTCACCCTCCAATGGCCGCCGCGGCCGGCGCGCTGCGGCCGGCGCACCGCGCTGATCCGATGGCAGGAGCCAGGAGCCAGGTGCTTTTCCTGGTCTCCCATGGGGTGCAGGGCCCAAGCACCTGGGCCATCCTCCACTGCACTCCCGGGCCACAGCAGAGGGCTGGCCTGGAAGAGGGGCAACCGGGACAGAATCCGGCGCCCCGACCGGGACTAGAACCCGGTGTGCCGGCGCCGCTAGGCGGAGGATTAGCCTATTGAGCCGCGGCGCCGGCCTCTCATGTCTATTTTAAATCTCCTCCCAATTACTTATAACACCTAGAACAATGTAAATAAGCGATGTAAATAGTTGCTCCACACTATTGTTTAGGGAATAATGAAAAAAGGAAGACTCCGTACATGTCAGTGTGGATGCGATTTCTTTCCCGAGTATTGTCCACACTTGTTGGTTGAATCCACTGATGTGGAACCCGCAGCCAGAGAGCTGACGGCCAGGAGCGTGTGGCTGAAATGTTCAGGTCTGGAAGGCCCTGGAGCCTGGGACGAGAAGCAACAGCCGTGGGGCTGGCTCTGAAGTTCTACCCTGCGTGTGACCCTGGGTGAATCACGAAAGACTGCCCAGCCTCAGTGTCCTCCTTTGTACAGCTGAGTGACATCTTTATTATTATCTTTATTATCTTCTGGGCATGCTCTGATAATTATTAAATGAGCTGAAATATGTGAAGCCTGGGGCACAGTTAGGACTGGTAAGCTGACAGCGAAGTTCTTAGCTCCCATTCCCCTCCCTGGGGCTTTGGGCAGCTGAGAACCAGTGGAAAGGGCAGAGTGTCCGTCTGGTTTGGTTCTTTTCTTCTTTGGACACCTCGATTCTCTGGTGCTCTGTTCACTGCTGTGGTCCCATGGGATGCTTTAGAACTATACAGCTTCCTGGGCCCACTCCCAGCTCTTTTGAATTGAAATCTTAAGACAACTATAATAAAAAAATACCTGGACTTAGGCTTGTTAAAGGAACTTCTGGGGCAGGTATTCAGCCTAGCAGTTAACACATCACTTGGGATGTCTTCATCCCATATTGGAGTGCCCAGGTTCAAGCCCCAGCATCTGCTCCTGACTCCAGCTTCTTGTTAAGGTGCAATTTGGAAGGCAGCAGAGATGACCCAAGTAGTTAGGGCCCTGCCACTCACGTGGGAGACCCCCAGATTGAGTTCTCAGCCCTTGACTTTGGTTTGTCCAGGTCCAGGACACTGCAGGCATTTGGGAAGTGAACCAGAAGTTGGAAGCTCTTTCTCTGTCTCTCAAATAAATATATAAACAAAAACCATTTTGAAAGAATAACTTCTTTAAAAAAATTTATTTTATTTGAAAGCTACGGTGACAGAGAGAGGGAGAGACAGAGGGAAAGAGATCTTCCATTCACTGGATCACTCCCCAAATGACTGCAATAGCTGGGGCTGGGCCAGGTCCAAGCCAGGAGTCTGAACTTTACCCAAGTCTCCCAGGTGGATGTCAGGGGCCCATGTACTTGGGCCACTATCCTCTGCCTCTGCAGGTACATTATCAGGGAGCTGGGTCAGAAGCAGAGCAACTGGGACACACTGGCACTCTGGTGTGGGATTCCAGTGTTGTAAGCGATGTGTTCACCAGCTGCACCACGACGCCCTTCCTAAGAATGATTTCTGAGATGTGTGTTATCTAGTAAACTGATGGCCACTCATCAGCCTGGCCTCTCTCTCTCTCTCTTCCACATGTTACAGAGTGCAAGAAAGCTCAGAGTTCAAGCGTCCTGCCTTGCGCTCCTCCCAGGAATGCAGCATGAGCCCGCTTTGGACTCTACACCGAATCCTCCTACCGATCCGGAGAGCCTTCATCTGCTGCAGGTGCAATCACTAATTTCATCAGGAGAGAGGGGCCTTCCGGACCTCCTTTTTGGAACACACGCTTGCCTACAGCCGCGCTCTGAGCCAGTCATCTAAGGGGTGAGCCTTCAACAGGCGCTTCATTTGTTTCAACGGCCTATGATCCCCCGAGAAGACTGAAATTCATATCCTAGCCAGAGAGAGGTATGAGTGGCCCAACTCAGCTGATTGGAAGAAGAGGAAGAAGAGGGGGCTCTTTTAGTTACACGGGGAAAACCCTACAGCGAGTGGGTTGGTGCGTTCTTTGTGGAAGCTTGGAATGTGTGAGGGAGGGAGCGTGTTAGCGGCCCTGGGTGTGTTGCTGACTTCACCTGTTCTGATACTGCGCCTGTCTTCACACACTGTGCTTCTGAAGAGCTCTGTGCAAACAGTGAACTGGATCTGCCCACGGCTGCTATCTCCACCCACTTGGGTTCTTTCTGTTGGCAGCAACTCTGAACACCTGAGCTCTTAGTGCCTTTCTCTTGTATCTGTCCACAGGCAATCTGTAAACTGATTCTTAAACACCCTCTCCTTCCAGTAGAGGGGGATTTGCCACCTACCCAGCTCTGTGACTTTGAAGAGCTGTAGGTGTCAGGTTTCCAAGGCGTGGTGCTCTGTGTCAGGATGTCCCTTCAGCAAGTGGGCACCCATTCCTTCTTTCCGCTCACCCCATGGCACACACCCTGTAGAAAGCAAAACTGAGAAAATCCTCCTCCTCAAAACAGGGGGAACTTCAAAAGCTGTCGGGAGGATCTATGAAAAATGTGCTGGGGCTTGATTTGAATTTTGTGTCCTGAGGACAAGGAAGTAGGGCTGAGCATTCCCATGTGTTGTTATGCTATATCCCAGTGGTTATCACTGGGTCTCTGCTGCTTATCCTGGGGGAAGCAGCAGAAAATGAGGTTTAAGAACACATGGGAGGCCGGCGCCGCGGCTCAATAGGCTAATCCTCCACCTAGCGGCGCTGGCACACCGGGTTCTAGTCCCGGTCGGGGCGCCGGATTCTGTCCCGGTTGCCCCTCTTCCAGGCCAGCTCTCTGCTGTGGCCAGGGAGTGCAGTGGAGGATGGCCCAAGTGCTTGGGCCCTGCACCCCATGGGAGACCAGGAGAAGCACCTGGCTCCTGCCTTTGGATCAGTGCGGTGCGCCGGCCGCAGCAGGCCGGCCACGGCGGCCATTGGAGGGTGAACCAATGACAAAAGGAAGACCTTTCTCTCTGTCTCTCTCTCTCACTGTCCACTCTGCCTGTTTTTTTAAAAAATAAAATAAATAAATAAAATAAAATAAATACATCTCAAAAAAGAACACACGGGAAAAGGAAAGAGGTGCATGATAGCCGAGGCAGGGCTTCCCACCACATCATGGATGATGTTTGGGGCCAGGTAACTGCCATGGGGCACTGTCTTGTACCTAGCAGGCTGATCAGCAGCATGGGTGGCAGCTACCTACCAGATGCCAATGACACCCTCCCCCCTCCCGATGTCACAGCTGAAAATATCACTATCCCCTGGTGAGCAGAGTCACCTCCATTTGAGAACCAGTCAAATGCAGGCTGCCCAGCCTGGAAGGGCCCTCCCTAGGCAGTCCTTGCATAGGCAGTCCTTTGAGTATCTCCTAAAAAACACCTCTGAAAATTAGTCTTTCCTTGGCTTGGCTCTGACTGTGTGAGCCTGGCAGGCTGCTCTGCTTCCTCATGGCTCCAAGACTTGGGTCTGTGCCTGGGGTCAGCCTCTCAGAGTAAAACAAGAGATGGGTTGGGTTTAATTGTACTGGGTGTCTCTGTGCCAGCCAGGTCTGCCATGGGAACTTGGAGGAAAGCGATGCCATCTCTCTTGTACAGAGGCTTACAACCCTGGGGTGGGAGAGGGTGTTGAGGAAATTCTTCTAAATTACTAGAACCAGGAGAAGCTTTTCCAATCTCTCTTCAAGCCTTTCAGGGAAGAGAGACTGAGGCAGTGAGAAAATATGACTCTCTCTGTGATGTGTCATGTCCAGGCAGAGCTCGGAGTAGAGCCGTGGGCAGGTGACTCTAAGAGTAGGCTCCTGCTATGATGCTGTCTCTCCCGCTTTAGACAAAAATCCTAATGACAGATGACAGCATGTGACACAGGCCCTGGGAGCACAGTGCCACGGCCCTCAGCAGGAGGAAGGACTGGATAAGGTTGTGTGGGACGCAGATAAAGGGGAAGTGGTATTTGGCGGGGGCAGCCTCAAAGGTTGCAGAGGATTTGAAAAATGACGTTGGGTACCAGCATGGCAGGTGGAGGTGACAGATAAACCTGGGGACACAGCCAGGGAAGAGCAAGGCTTCCAACTTGGCTAGAGGTCAAGTTGGCACAAGGAAGTCCTAGGAAGGTAAGCTACAGGTTGAGAAAGCTAAAGCACAAGGATGCTTCAGATATTCTATGGGAGAATGGAATGGAAAAATGAGTTTATCTTGGTGGAAAAATAAATTGAAATCCATGTATACTTTTTTCACAATACATGTTTTTACATGAGCTGTTCAAAGCTATCTCTGCTGCCCCTGTATGTGTGGGTTCCAAAATGTTCTGCCCTCAAATAAACTTATCTTTCATTCCATAGTCCATGAACTCTTTGCAGTATCCTCATACAATGCTTACCAATATGGAACACAAAGTGGGAAAGTACATTCTAGAGGAAAACAGTGTTTTCCATCTTCCAGAGGTGTTGGGTGTTCTTCACTCCATTGCTGTTGGGAAAAACTGAGGCATGAAAACTGAGGTGACTGGAGTCTGTGTGTGTTACCAAAATCAGGCTCACCTTTCTCACCAGTTGCAGATCCCCCTCTCTCCCTCTTCCCAAGAGCCTGTCAATAGGGACCATGGCCTTGAGATTTGTGTTGTTCCATGGGTGCACAAGTCCATGGGAGTTGTGAGCCCTGGGTGTTGGGTTAGACCATGGCTCGCGCACTATGGGAAGCTTCACTTCTCTGTGCCATTTTCCTCCCAGACCCACCCCGGCTCAGTGGGTGCCCCCGGGGCGTGGATGCACTAGGCTCTCTGGCTGATTGGCAGCTGGAACAAGTTAGCCTGGAAGCATTTACACTGAATTTCTACATCCCCTGAAGAGTTGTCACCAGCAGACAGATCCTTGCAGCAGGCAAACAGCGATCTTCTCAGAAGAGCTTTTGAGTAAATGAAGTTGTTCTGGATGGCACTGTTGCTGAAGTGACTGCTCTTGTCCAAAGACAAGATGGTATGTCAGAGGGCTGGGCTGGGAGATGCGACGTCTGAGAAGCACCTGCTGCCTTGGGAGTTTCGGTGCTGCACACCTGGTTTCTGGGTCCTGTGTTTCTAAACTCTGGCTTTGTGGAAAAAAAGAAAAGGCCTTTTCTCTTGTGTATGTTTTTGGGGGTTGTGTGTATTTGTTTGAGTACATATTATGCTTTTATCTTGAGTGCCTGCTTCTCCCCTGTTTTTAGCTGACCCCTGGTCATTTCAGAGGACACAGTTCAACCCATCACACCATGTCCCCACCATCTCTCCCCAGTCTGGACAGAGAGTGGAGAGAGCAGTGCTGGAATGAACTGAGATAACGGGGCCCCAGGGTGGGTGTGGGGGAGAGGGCCCACAGGTGGCTGAATCCCTGGAGGGTGCAGCTTGAAGGTAGAAGCCTTGCCCAGAATGGCAGTGCAGGCAGTTCTAAGGGGGCTGCTGCCCTCTGGCTTCCTCCTGTGCCCTGCCCACCCCAGCAGGCCACAGTCTCTCCCTTTTACTATGCTTATGCAGATAAATTACTGTGGCTCTTGACAGTGCCTAGGGAGACATCATTTAGACTCTGCGGAAAAGAACGATTTATTTAAGTACTGCCACTGTGATTTATAGGAATTAAAAAATAAAGTGAAGGGAATGTGTGCTCTTTGAGGAAAAGACTCACAGTGTCCGTTAGCTTCATAGCACTTATATATACCAGCATGGTTATAAAAAATATGTCCAATTGCAAGCTGATCCCAATTGTAGAAATGCAAATCAGTTATCGTATTATAGCAATGCTGTGAGTTAGGAAGCGGAAGATGTGCTTTAGGAGCGAGGGGCCTGGGAAAGCCGGGTGGGTGACATGAAGGACAAAGAGCTATGACTGGACAGACCCTGAGCTAACAGAACAGCCTGAGCCAAGGCCCCGAGTCAGACGGACAGCACAGCTCTGGCACATGGGAGACCCTCACTGAAAGCCGGGATGGCCGGGTGCTAGTGAGCAGGGAGGAAGTACAGCAGGAGAGGAGGGTGGAGGAAGCGGCTGGGCCAAGCCAGGGCTGGTGTCTACCCTGAATATGGGAAGGGGCCCCTAAGGATTTTAGCTGGGAACTGATGTCTTGGGTGTTTTGCTTTAGCTTTGTATTTTAGTTGAGGTGTGGCCCAGAGGAAGTGCACCGGTCTTAAGCACACCTCAGAGCATTGTGTATGTTTATGGGGAATGAGAAGCAGGACATTTGCATCAACACTGCTGCAGCTGTGTTGAGACTAGACGGAAGAGTGTGGGAGGGGGAGGTTAGAGACATCTGGCATCGGTAAGCAGAGGTGATGGTGGCCCCGATGGGTGTGGGGTAGCAGAGGTGAGAGATCTTCGAGGATTTTTGGAGATAGAATCACTTGGCTTTGCTCATGGAGTAGCTAGGAGGAGGGAAGGAAAAGGTACTTATTCTTGGTTTGGGGCTGGAGTTGTGTGGATGGCAGTGGTGCCTTTTACACAGAGGGAGAAGACTAAACGTAGGGTACAGATCTGAGAGTCATCAGCAATGAAGGGTGATGTATAGGTCAGCAGAAATGGGTGAGATGTCCTGGGAAGGCAGGGTAGCAGTGAAAAGAGAAACCAATCCAGGACCAAGACTGAAGCAATTCTCACATTTAGACTCAGAGACTGAAGGGGCCATCCAAGGAAACTAAGGAGAGGGAATCTAAGAAATCAGGAGAGGGTGGTGCTGTGGGGGCCAGGAGGGGAGAATGTGGCCTTGGCAGGTGTGCATGGTCCTGGGAAAATGTTCAAAGAAGATGTGTATGTGCATTGCATTTGGTGACATGGAGATAGACCACCTCGGTGAAGCAGGGCAAATGACAGGCAGACCTGAGCAGCTCGAAGAGTGCATGGGCAGTTGGCAGAGACAACTTTGTTGATGGTGCTGTGACCAACCAAGAAATTCAGCACTGAGAGGGAAGAGATGTGTGCAGATGGCTGCTTGGTATCCGTGAGAGATGGGAATTTTCCAGAACAGAGGGAGATGTTAGCCCAGAAGACAGTAGAGAAGCCAAGGGATCCAGGGCTTTGAGGAAATGAGAGAAGAGGATAAATACTGGTGGATTTACAGGCTTGGTGATGATGAGGGTAACTTCTGGTTTCTTTTTTTAATGAAACAAGTGATGGTAGAACAGGGACATGGCAGTTTTGAAGATTAGGTATGAAGTTGTGTATGGGGACAGAGTGCAAATCTTGGACACGTTTGGACAAGTGGCTGACCAGGGCTGAGTGCCTGTTGGAGTTTGTGATCCTGAATTGAAAGCAAATCCAGCCCCATGCCCCAGTGCCCGATGGAGAAGCAGAGATTGGGTTCTGCTGAGTGAGCTCGGATGAGGAGAGGAAGAGGGGAGCCACCCTGTGATGGACCAGGTGATCCAGGCCAGCCTGGAAATCAGTGGGGAGGGGAGTGGGACGGTCAGGCAGCTCAAGGGAGACGCAGAAGGTGTCAGGCCCATCAGCTGAGTCTCCAGGAAGGAACTTTGTCCCTGCAGCATCCCTCAGCATTAGCCAACCAATGAGGGCACTGGCCTAAGAAGCAGTGGTGACACCCAGTGACCATTCCTCGAAGTGCACCTTCTGGGTTTGGGGATGCAGTGGATCCCAAGGCATTTGGGAGGCACTCAAGCCCTCCCGGTTCTCACCGCAGGCGGCTCTCGCAGGATGCTGTCCTACTGGCCCTGGGCCGTGCACGGGGATGGGGAGGCTGATGCTCAGGGGTAACTAGAAGTAGGTTGCTGAGGCACTGAAGGCCACCTGGGGGCTGGAGTTCTGGAGCCCGGACCTGGCTTCTCCACTGAGTTCCTGCTGTCCTGTACAGATCCTGCATCCTGGGATGGCTGTGGGTGTCCTAAGCCCTGAACAGGTTCAGACAAATACCCATTATTGACTTAAGCTTCTTCTAGCCCACAGTTAACCCTCGGGAGTTACCCTCCTGGCTGACTCAGAGCTGAATGAGGACTCTCCTTTATCTACCACCTCCTAAGAGTTGACTGCCATTAGTGTTCTAAAGGGTCATGAGGAAGGTCTCTGGCTCTACTCGACCCAACACTGGGATCTGGCTTAGTCTAGGAGCAATCCCAGGTTTCTCCTCCAAGTCCTGTCACTTATCATAGGTCCTAGGCTGGACTTCTGGACCGAGGACTTGTGTGTTCCATACTTAGAGGCTTTTCCACCCATGGCAAATACAAAGAGGACCGCGATGGGACACCTTGCCCCCTTTGTCATAACCTATGACATTTTTGCCATTCGGACCAACTACCAGGACCTGCTGTTTACCCTCCACTGTAAGTGGTTAGACACTCAGGGTTTGCATCCAAACACGAGAGGGTGAAATGAGTGCATGTGTTGTTAAGGCCCATGGGCTGGGGCCACTGAGGGAGGTGGCTTCCAACGTGGTCCAGAGTGGAGGAAGACTGAGTCCAACCTCTAATCTTCTCCCCATCTCTTATCTCACGCTCACTCCCTGACTTGATCTTGACTTTGAACTTTGCATCAGCCTGGTGTAGCAGAGCAAACCTGCACTGAACTTGCAGTTGGGCAATCACTCATCCACATCTGTCTCCATACCTGTCAGATGGGGGTGGTAATGCACAGGGTTGTGGTGAAGGTCAAGTTAATCAATGAACATGAAAAGTGCTTCCACAACACAGTGCTTTGGTCTGAGGCATTATTACAGCTATTTCCACCATGGCAGTTTGCATCTGCTTTAAGGAGAAAGAATAAACCTCATGATAATGTAATTCCATTAGAGGGGAAGGGTCCCAGTCACTGAGGGGATGGATGGTGAGGGGTGGGCATCAGAAGTGAATGGCCACTGAGGTCCCTTCCAAGACTGAGAGAGCACAGAGGGAAGTAAGTGAAGGAAAAGCAAACAGGGCTTGGGGTCTCCACCAGTCACTAGCTGTGGCACCCTGGATCAGTTCCCAGGAGTCCCAGAACCACAGGGCCCCCCTGTGTGCTTCCTCTCTCAGCTGTGGAGACAGCTAAGCAGGTGCTACCAGTGCAGTGCCTGGAACAGAACAGGCACACAGGGAATGGCAGCAAGGACATTCATTATTCAGGTCATTTGAAACTAAATATGTGGGGCATACATTGTGGGCCAGGCACAGAGCTGGGTGCTGGGTGACACAAGTCCAGGGCGCAGCTTTTCAGACAGACAATTCTGGTTCAGATTCTGGCTTTACCACCCGCTAGCTATAGGGATGTATTTAACTTCTTGGAGTCCTAGTTTCCTCCTGTGTAAAGCCAGAGAGAATTGTGTCTGTGGTAAGAGATTATTGCAATAGCTGCCCTGTGATCTATGTGATGCATTTGCACATCCCAGGTGTCTACAATGTCTCAGAAATGGCAGTGATGACCATCCATGTGGTCAGGCTAAAGCGTACAAAGGAGAGGCTTATGGGTCAAGGTTAAAGCCAGAGACCAAGCCATGGTGCTTATAGTATTATGTCTGTCTTTGAACCAACATTTTCCATATCAAATAAAATATGGAATGCTATTTCCCTTCCCACACATCTACCCATCACTCCCTAAATACTTAAAGCAAAAGAAAATTTCCACAGACTCTAGAGAGGAAAGTGGTAAAATATTAAATGAACAAGGCAGTAATCTGTCTTTAGAGCTTGTTCAGAAAAATCTTTTGAAGATTCCAAGTGTTTTTGCTCAAAGGGTTTTCAGTTGCCCAGGTGCACATGCCCTGGCGTCCCCCAGGGGACATCCCTGTTCTAGGCTGTTCCCCTGGTCCGACTGCCTTCACTGGGAGGAAATACAAACTTGACCTGTATCCCCAGTGGAGATCCTGGCTTAGGCCTTTCCTGCCAGCTCACAACCCTCCTTCAGGCGTCTCCTTTCCCCCTGCTTCCTGGTCCTGCCCCCTGGCTGCAGCTGGGGCCCAGCAGCTCTCAGTGCTCCCCAGCTTTCGCTGCCGTCTCTGTTCACGCCCACAGTGCAGAGAAGGCCCCATCTGTGTATACACAAACCGCTCCCTGGCTAGCATCTCTCCTGGCAAGCCATTCGCTCATCCAGAAAAGGCATCAAACGCTTAAAACACACATGAATTAAGAGTCCGATCAGGGATTTAAAATTGTCACTTTTTAAAAGATTTATTTATTTATTCAAGAGACAGAGCTACAGGGAAAGGGAGAGACAGAGAGAAAGGTCTTCTATCCATTGGTTCACTCCCCAAATGGCTGCAACAGCTGGAGCTGAGCCAAACCAAAGCCGGGAGCCAGGAGCTTCTTCCAGGTCTCGCAGGTAGGTGCAGGGGCCGAACCACTTGAGCCATCCTCCACTGCTTTCCCAGACCACAGCAGAGGGCTGGATCAGAAGAGGAGCAGCTGGGACAG